GGATGGAGGTGAACATGTTTGCTTCTCTGTAATTAAGAGAAGACTTGATTCGCTACAACATGCAAACCCCCGGTAAACCTCGAAAACAGAAAAGCCAGGCTGTAGTTCACAAAAACATACAAAAAGAAATCTGTAGAGTTCTGGAGCAAAGTTTTATGGACTGATGAAACAAAAGTTCATGACCAAAGCACCACCTGATCTGTCACTGCTGACTGAATCAACAGGATTCATACCGAGGTATTGCAGTAGTCTGTGTAGTCAGATACAGCTGAATGCATCAAAACTCACTGGAAGATATTTCATCATTCATTAGGATAATGATCCTAAACATATAGCCAGCAGCATCCAAAGAATTGGGTGCAGAGGTGAAATATCCTAAACTGGCTGAATAAGTCACCCGATGTTAGTCTGAATTTCGCCTGCTGACGACTAAAGGCAGTCAGACCCTTACTTAGTGTGGTCAAGAATTACATCAAAGATTATGTCTGTGCAGATTCTCAGTCATCCAGGTCATAGTAAGCTGCCCCATGAAAGATTAATGGAAGAAAAGGTCACCCTTTCTTTATATCAACAAAAAGTATATACATAAAACATTATTCATCCATCCATTAAGTCTGTGCAGATTCTCAGTCATCCAGGTCATAGTAAGCTGAAAGAACTTAGAAAAAATCAACTGGACTAGATTTCTGGGTCGAAGACATTTCACCTCTCATCCAAGAGGCTTCATCAGTTCTGACTGACTGGTGTTGAGCTGGAGATATTTATCCCCCTCGGTGGTGTTTCAGTCCTTTGAAGGCCAACAATGTCCCCTAACGACTGAGTCTTTATAAAAGTTGTGCTTGCGCTCTGTTCAGGGTGTTCCCAGCCCTGTATCCTTTTACAGGAGAGCCAAACCTCAAACATCTGGGGAAGACATCCTGTTGGTGGCATCTTAGGTTGAAACGAAGGTGGCCTCTGTAGTTAGCCAGTTTCTTGACTGTTTTCTCATACTCACGTACCAGTCGAAGGGTATCATTCCCAAAATGAGTAGCAACATGTCTGTGCAGATTCTCAGTCATCCAGTCCAGTCCAGTCCATTTGCAGTTTTTTTCTGCTTACTATGACCTTTGAGGCTGGGCTCTCCTGTAAAAGGATACAGGGAACATCCTGAACAGAGCGCAAGCACAACTTTTATAACAACTCAGTCGTTAGGTGACATTGTTGGCCTTCAAAGGACTGAAACACCACCGAGGGGGATAAATATCTCCGGCTCAACACCAGTCAGAACTGATGAAGCCTCTTGGATGAGAGGTGAAATGTCTTTGACCTAGAAATCTAGTCCTGAAGTTTTTTTCAGACAAAAGTGATGGCAGTATGTAGTAACACATACACAATTTCATAATAATAACCTTATGCTTATTATTCAATAATTGATTGATATATGATTTTGTGGGGATTTTTGTATGTGTGATTTTTGTTTTGTTATGATATGTTGCCACCAGTACAGTTCATAGAGTGTAAATGACTACTAAAAGTCTGTCAGACTTGTGATGGTAAATCCTTTTTGTTGCTAAACAAATCCATTATTAAAGTAAAGGTACGAGTACAAAACTATTTCCTGTCTTCCATCCTTGACAAGAATGTAATGCAGTCACAAGACAGTGCTTCAGAAGGGGCCATGACAGAAACCTGTAATGTTCGCAAATGTAATTTAGCTACAGTAGCTATAGTAGGTACAATATACTGACAGTCAGGAGGAGGATTATAAAGCCAGGTCAGATGATGCACTTTGGCCTATTCAGATCTATGCCCAATGTAAGGTAACCTGTGTCACTGTCAGTCTGAATGTGTATCATTTTCGGGCCATTATTCATTCTGGAAAACCTACAGCAGGAAGCTCAGCAGAGCACAGAGCAACAGCTCTGTGTTTCTTCCTCCACACTCTCTAGACACACTTTGTTCCCTTTCACTCTGGCTATACCTCTCCATTTTACAAGTCAGCCTCCTACTATGTGCTTTCTTTTATGATGAGTAGATGTTTTTTCCGCTCACACCCCTGCATACACACACACGCACACACACACAGACACACACACACACACACACAAACACAGAGGACGCCTGCAGTGGAAATGATAGCCTCTCAGTGTGAGTGGCCTGGTGGCGTCTATTCTACTTTAGATCTGTGTGTGAAAATTACAGTTCTCAGTCTTGTTGAATGCTGACTGAAACTTCTTTCTCCTGTGGGTGTACCAACACAAGGAAATGTTAAATACCCCCTCCCTCACTTCATTTATTCTTCCCTCTACCTCTCTTCCTCCCACACAAAGAGGACTAGCAGCAGGGCAGGAAATCCTTTTTTACTAAGCTAAATGCTTTAATTAAGTCCTCCAACCACTTGGGAAGAGAAAAAGAGGTAATGCCATCAGCCTCATTAAAGCTTGCTGCATCTGCACCTGGCTTTACCACTAGTCGTCATGGGAGGAGTGGCACCGGATGCTTAACTAGACAGGGTTTGTGTCAGTGCTACATGTGATACTGATAAATGCTAGAATGGGGTTTCGATGCATTGGAGAAGCTCATACATTTATTGTAAGAGACGGTTTTAAAACTTGGCACTTTTTGGTTCTGTCACAAAGATGATGTGAGCTGTAATAGCAGCAGCGATTAATCGTAGTCTAGTGCAAAAACGGCCAGTGCCTGATCAGGTGTTTGGAGTTTTGGTCCTTCGGGTTCATTTCACTGATATTCATATCACATAGTTTCTCACTGAAGCCTCAGTGGTCTTCCATCATAATTTACATTTAGAAAGGCAATCTCAGGTTTGCCATGGTTCAGTGTACAGAAGCCAGTCTAGAGACAGGTCTGCTATGGGTAGTTTACAATATGATGTCTTGAACCAGTGTAAAATGGAATATAGCGAGGTAGTCTGCACACTGAGCAAACCTCAAACATTGGGTGGTGGCTCTGGATGTTTTTGTGCTCTGAAGGCAAATTCTCATCCCAATAAGCCTTTACAGTATGTTAGTATGTATATTCTTTATTTCAAAAGCGTTGCTGGTGCTGCTCTGAAGTCAAATAAATGAAAAAAATATTCAGTGAACTTTGCTGTGGATATTCATGGTCATCAGAGGTTAAGCTGTGATACGTTTGTTGATCTCCCCACACACATCCAATCTTAGTACCACCACAGTGACAATATTTCCACCTTGTACATACACTGTTATAATTGCTAAATACAGTAGGTAGGAACTCTGCGGAATCTCTGTGCTGCAATTAATTAAGAATTATTTAGCAATTAAATAAACAGAAAAGAGGGCACTATTGTTTGGCTCTTCCTTCAGTACAATGTGTCAAAAACAATTTTGTATGTCTTTAGTCCACTAAAATGCAATGTTTGACTTAGCAGTTAAGTTAACATGTGATAAAGATAATTTCTTGAACAATCAAATAAAGCAAAGAAAGGGATACAAAAGGAGTTTGTAGCTTTTTATAACTGAAAATATTTACTGCAAAGATGTGTCATTTTGGGACCGCCATCACTTGCCTCAATAAAATGTTTCCACTGTGTTTACTGTGTTTAATGTCATGTTTCCAGCAATATTAAAAAAAACTCTCTGCTGCAACAGTAGTGTCATGAACAACCACTAATATCCACACTGATGTTAGGTTAGGTTAGGTAGAACTTTATTGATCCCACAGTGGGGAAATTCCAGTGTTCCAGCAGCATTAAGAGACATAACAACATGACACCATAGAATACACACCATACACATATCTTGAGAAAACAAGATCCAGGTACCTAGAAACCAGAAAAAATATAGTATGTAAGAGACAATCAAGAACAAGAATAGACCTTCCACAGTTTGTCCCTGAGACACAAGTCAAAAAAGATACCTGGGAACAAGACAAAAAAGAATAGTATTAAGAGGAATCAAGAAAAACAACCAGGAAATCAAGAACAATCAAATATTACTCTCACAATTAATGTGTGTGTACCAGTATGTGCACCGGTCATTTCTAATGAAAGAGGGAATGGACCAGTTTATTTTTTTTATTCAAACAGAGTTGGCTGGACCTGTGTAACTCCTCCCACTCAACATAAAGGTTCCTACAGTGATTATGAACAATGGAAACCATCATACTGGTGGTGACAGATGTAGATCAGTAACTTAATAATAAAATAATATGTTAAAATGATTAGCATTCTTTTAAAAAATATATTACCAGGCAAAATACTGAACTATAATCTACCCTATATACATTTGGTGTATAGTCTTTCCTTCCCCTCCTTCCTAAATTTGTACTATATGTAACCTAGTCATTTGTTTCCTTCTCTCAATGTGCCTCATAAAAGATTAATGGAAGAAAAGGTCACCCTTTTTTTTTGATCAACAAAAAGTATATACATAAAATATTCTTCATCCATCCATTAGCTTCACCCATGGGGGCAGGCAACAATGATATGATAATAATAAAAAGCTCTGTCCATACCACATTTATTAAATATACTATAGCTTCCTTATTTTTATGGTTGTTATGCCATATTGAAGTAGTTCCTGACAAAAGTGTACATAATTTAGTTTGAGGTCAGCCCATTTCTTGCAATGAATGTGAATAATTAATAAAATCAATAGTACAAATAAAAACAGAAAATAAAGTCCTTGTTCATCCTGTTCATGTGGTGTTAGATGAACAAGGCCTCTGGGAGCTGCCACAGGGTTTTATTGTGTATTACTGCTGTACTGCCACAAAAATATATTTTCTCTTATTTTATTAATTACTTTTTTATTTAAGGGATTTTATTTCATGTTCTGTAATTCTTTTTGTTGCAGGAAGCCAGTTTCTTTGCTCAGGACATGAAGATCTCATCTTATTCAGCACCCATCTTATATGTTGTCTGTATAGCAAAATATCAGAGTGCTGCTCCTCTCCAGTTGTCTGCTTTATTTTCAGAAGCTCAGTGAAGGTCATTCAATGATAATGCTTTGTGTAATTGTGTGGTTGTGTTCTCCCCTCAGGCCTGGCCAGGGCCAAGTCGGTCCCCAGCCATACTTACTCCAACGAGGTGGTGACCCTGTGGTACCGTCCTCCAGATGTCCTTCTGGGATCCACGGACTACTCCACCTGCCTGGACATGTGGTGGGTAGCCCTGACCCTGAGATTCTCATCACACACTTTTTGTGTAGTTTATCTTTGATTTATTATGGTGCTCCCATTAAGATATAGATCTGTTTGTTCCAGTGGGGACTCAGGAACTAAATCATGAAGTAGACAAAAACCAATTAAAACTCACTCATGTACAGCTTGTAACCTGAGGCTGTGATCCTTGCAGTGTGCTGTAAATTGTTTGTTTTCCTCCACCCCCCCATCACACACACACACACACTCAGTGTAGAGATGAGACTGGAGGTACATACATTTATACACACATACAGTAGAGCTACTGCTAATATGTATGAAACAACTGCAAAGACCAATGTATGATTCACATTTTACTGGCCTCTACCACTTTAATAAGATCAACAATAGACATATTAACAGACATATTATCTTCCAGCTACACCGAAGTATAAATTTTGAAAAGTAAGCAGGACTGAATAGTTATGGGAAAATACTGCATCCATCCATCCATTATCTATACCACTTATCCTGAATGGGGTCACGGGGGGGCTGGAGCCAGTTCCAGCTGACACTGGGTGAGAGGTGGGGTCCACCCTGGACAAGTCACCAGCCTATCACAGGGCTGACGTAGACAGACAACCACACTCAGTCCTATGGGCAGTGTGGGGTCACCAGGCAACCTGAGCTGCATGTCTTTGGACTGTGGGAGGAAACGGGAGTACCCGGAGGGAACCCATACAGGCACAGGGAGAACATGCAAACTCCACACAGAAAGGCCCCGGGTTGGCCGGGGCTCAAACCTGGAGCCTTCTAACTTTGAGGCAATAGTGCTAACCGCTGTTCTACCATGCTGTCCAAAAATATTGTATATACTGTAACTGCTTTTCTTCTGACCACTAATATCATTACAATATACATTTTTATTTGTTTCTTTGTTTGATTTTTTTATGTTTTCCAAAAAGTTCTCAGCAACATGGCTAGTTTTTGGCCGATGATTTAGCTAATATTTAGTAAGATGTTATTATTATTTACAGTATGTTAGTAGTAGTAGTAGCAGCATCAGTGGTACTATAGATGTATATTATTAGTAAACCAGTATACTACTGCTCATTAAACAAAAATTATAATTAAAAACTATGTAGACAATCAAAAGAAGAATTATATTTATTAAGAGAAGAAGCTTTATGTTATTGTCATTTGTAACATTGTGACATGTACAACGAAATTTTGTTTGGAGCAGAGGGCCGGGCCGCTGCATGCATACGCGCCGACATCACGGGCAACTTGGGGAGTTCAGTGTCTTGCCCAAGAACACTTCAATATGTGGACTGCAGGCACAGCAACATAATTTTTGTATCTGACTGACAACCCAGTGATACTTGTAATAGCCATTTGTAAACTGACAGGACTACACAGCACTAAATTCTGAAAGTTGTGATTCTTAGCTTTTAACTGATGCATTATACAGTAAATACAGTCATATAATGCTTCCATCATAGTGGCAAATTTGTATTCTTTTGGCAAAGATTTTAGTTTTGAAAGGAAAATATGTCTGAAATTGTTAAAGCAAAATAAATTTGTATTCATTGTAGTTCTATATTCTGTTAAGCTTAATGAAGCCAGTGCTATATAGCTGGTGTTCACAGCTTTTGCATTAATAGTGAAGATTGGATGACAATATACATTTACATCCCAGAAGATGGGATTTTTTTAGACCAAAACCTAGGGGTCAGAGCCTGTACAGTAAGGAATGGACTATGCACAGAAATAACGGATTACAGTGCTCTACAATTAGTTAGCACTTCAATAGCAGTTACAGTGTGGTGCACTGCAAGAGCTCAATGTGTTAAATATTCCTCGTTGTTACACTTTCTGTTCACTCTCAGAAGCGGCAAACGTGGAGCTGTGTGTGTTCTCAGATGCATCAATCAAAGCAATCGCCTACCTTAAAGTAACATCTCAAGATGGTCTCATAGAAGTCAGTTTTGTCCTTGGCAAGGCCAAACTAGCACCGTTAACAGGAGTCACTATACCTCGGCTAGAGCTGTGTGCTGCAGTGTTGGCCACAGAATTTGCCAGACCGATTCAGGAGAATTGGGGACAAAGACTGAGCAAGATAACCTTCTTCACAGACAGCAAAATTGTACTTGGTTATATATACAACGAGTCACGAAGATTCCACGTGTATGTGAATAACTGTGTATCAGACAGTTTACTCATCCAGAACAATGGCGATACCTTCCCACAGAGAACAATCCAGCAGATCATGCTACGAGAACTATAACACCGGAACAACTTCAGAGCTCCAACTGGCTGACAGGACCAAGTTTTTTGAAGAAGCCTGAGAATTCACCAACAGATGTTCTCTATGAGCTGGTTAATCGAGGTACAGATGGTGAACTCTGTTCAGAAGCAACCACTCTCCTCACCAAGGTCTCAGAGAGGCAGGTAATTAGCAAACACTTCAACCATTTCTCATCATGGCATAAGTTGACAAAGGCCATAGTGCGGTTACAACATATTGCTAAGGCCTTTCACAGACCCCTGCATAATGTAAACTGTGCAGGCTGGCATTTTTGCAGGAGCAGTCTCACCCCGGATAAGTTTGTGAAGGCAGAACACATTATCATTAAGAAGGTGCAGGAGGATGTGTTTGCAGAGGAGATCAAATGCCTGGAAGCTAAGCGAGACTTGCCCTCAAGCAGTCCTCTAAAGAAGCTCCAACCTTTTGTGGGTAATGATGGTTTTCTTCGAGTAGGCGGACGCATGAGGCATGCAAACCTTGGACTGGATGACACGCACCCTATCCTCATCACTGGAAAGCATCATGTTGCAACCTTACTGATTCGCCATCACCATGAAAAAAGCAGACATCAATGACGGCACATTACAGAGGGCGCCGTCAGAGCAAGTGGTCTATGGATAGTGGGTGCAAAGAGAGCCGTTGCCAGCCTTATCTACAAATGTGTCATTTGTAGGAAACTGTGAGGCAAAGTAGAGCAACAACAAATGTCCGACTTACCACCTGAGCGCCTACAGCAAGAGCCACCCTTTACATATCTAGGGATGGATGGCTTTGGGCCATGGGAGGTCATCATGCGCCGAACCAGGGGTGGCAGTGCTAACAACAAAAGATGGGCAATCTTGTTTACTTGTATGTCCACAAGAGCAGTCCTTGTGGAACTCAATGAGTCGATGAGTACTTCAAGTTGCATAAATGCACTGAGTAGGTTTTTCTCCATTAGGGGACCAGCCACGCAACTACGGTCGGACCAGGGCACTAATTTTGTTGGTGCATCCAAGGACTTGAAATTGGGGCTGGAAAGAGTTTCTGATGACGCTGTGGAGAACTACCTTCTTACCCAGAAATGCACATGGGTGTTTAACCCTCCCCATGCATCTAACATAGGGGGCAGTTGGGAGCGTATGGTAGGAACTGCATGGCGCATTCTCGATTCCATGCTGCTTCAAGCTGGGAAAACTACACTCACTCATGAAGTGCTGAGTATGTTTATGGCTGAAGTTACAGCTATAATCAATTCCAGACCATTGATACCAGTTTCTTCAGATCCAGAGGTACCCTGGATGCCTTCTCTCCCATCTGAACACTTTGCAGACACCAACCTCCTTAAACATCAGTGGAAGAGAGTACAGGCACTAGCCGACACATTCTGGGCAAGGTGGCGCAGAGACTATTTGAGCACCCTTCAAAGCAGACAAAAGTGGCATGCTAAGCGACCAAACCTTAAGGAGGATGACATAGTGTTGCTCAGGGAAAAGCAAGCCAGAACACATGAATGGACGATGGGACGTGTGATGAAAACCTTACCAAGCAAAGATGGTTTGGTTACAAAAGTGTCAAAGTGACATCCCACCAACCTCCCAGGACTTATTTGAGACCTGTTTAGGACATGGTTTTACTTTTGGAGTCTAACATAGTGTAAATGCAGAGGAGTGTGGCATCCCATTGATGCCAGGCGGGGAGTGTGGTGTAATTCTAATACCATAACATGACTCTTATTGTGAAGGGTAGGCTCTTATTTTGTAGTTTGCATTCAGGAAGCTATTGTATTTTCAGTCAGGAAGTGTTACTGAGAGTATTTGCCGTGAGTACACATTTGTGTTAAACAATCCTTATGAATCCTGCTTCAGTTCGCTACATGAGGCATTGGCAGTAAATGAATTCGTTTGTAAACTTATTGATTAACATTTTAATAGATATATTGATTACTATTTTGGAGTGGAACATGTTTATGACTTGGATGTAAAAGAAGAATAGTCATTTATTTACTATGTTTATGTTTTGTATTTTGGTCAGTTTCACCTTTTCTTCAGTAAAACCCTGCCAACTACAACGTATCGTCTGTTCCTTGGAGGTATAATGGAGAAAGAGTTTAACTGGCTGTTGAATTCGATTTCTACATTGAAGGAGAACAGTACAACTAGTTAGTAACATTGTACCTGATATCACAGCTTTGACACGTTTGTAAAAACTCAGGCAGTTTATCACTGTAAGATAATTACATTATTGATGATATTCTAAATTGGCACAATGTGTAGCATATTTACACCAAGTTAGCAAAGATACAAGAAAACAAAGATATCTAAACAGCGATAGATCATAATGACTAAACAACAAGACAAACACAAGAACACTTTAATAAAAAAATGTTAATTTAATGTTTCCCTCTAGACTGACCATTCTCCACCCAGTGTTCCTTACCTCTGAATCTTCTGTCGAGCAACACTGGTGTTGGATAGTGTGTCAGGTCTTGTTTGCGTTTCCGTCTGGACATCTGGTCAGCAGGGATGTGCCATGAACCTCAGCTGCATTTTGCAGCATCCAGTTAAAGGGCAGTTGGAGCTTTGGGGATCTTGGAGGTAAAGAGACAATGTGTCTGCTTTAAGGGTGGGCAAATCCAAAGGGTGCTGTTCCATCCCACTGGGAGTCGCACATACATACACACACACACACACACACACACACACACACACACACACACACACACACACACCTG